TCATCCGGGAAGGTTTGTCGATTGCGCCGAGCTTTGTATGGTTTGAAACAAGCACCTCGTGTCTGTTATGCCACGTTCAGTTCGGCATTGTTTCAGTTTGGTTTCACTACGAGCGATCACGATTCTGCCCTATTTCTTCGGCGCTCTTCATCTGGGATCATTATTCTGTTGCTCTATGTTGATGATATGATCCTCACGGGAGACGATGTCTCGGGTATTTCTGATTTACAGGATTATCTTCGACAGCATTTTGAGATGAAGAGTTTGGGCCGTCTTCGCTACTTTTTGGGTCTTGAGATTTTTGATTCCTTTGATGGATTATATTTGTCTCAAGCCAAGTATGCCTCTGATCTTCTTGCTCGGGCAGGTCTCACTGATTGTCAGACAGCTTCCACACCTCTTGATTATGATGTTCGTCTTACTCCACTGGATGGCTCTCTTCTTGAGGATCCTACATTATATCGTCAACTCGTTGGAAGTTTGATCTATTTGACTGTCACTCGGCCTGATATAGCTCATGCTGTTCATATTGTGAGTCAGTTTATGACTGCTCCGAGAACCTCTCTCATCACTCTGCTGTGTTGCACATCCTTCGCTATGTGAAGGGCACTCTATTGCATGGTTTACATTTCTCGGCCAGTTCTTCATTGTCCCTTAGCGGTTACTCTGATGCAGATTGGGCTGGAGATCCTACTGATCGTCGCTCCACTACTGGGTATTGCTTCTTTTTAGGTGATTCACTTGTCTCTTGGCGCAGTAAGAAGCAAACCTCAGTTTCCCGCTCGAGTGCCGAGTCTGAGTATTGTGCTCTTGCTGACTCCACCGCAGAGCTATTATGGTTGCGTCACCTACTTGCTGATCTTGGTGCGCCTCAGTCATCCTCCACTGATCTCCATTGTGATAGTCAGAGTGCTATAAAGATGTCTCATAACGATACGTTTCACGAGCGCACGAAACATATTGAGATCGATTGTCACTTCATTCGCCATCATGTTACACATGGGACTGTGCGCCTTGTTTCAGTCTCTTCTTCAGATCAGATAGCAGATGTCTTCACAAAGTCTCTCCTTCCGGGTCGCTTTTGCTTACTTCTTTGCAAACTCAAGTTGATATCTACTATACCACCTTGAGTTTGAGGGGGGGTGTTAGAATATATTGTATATATGGTTAGCATATATTAGTTGTATATATCTATATCTTGTATGGTTAGGTTTAGCCTCATTATGTTCCTATATATATGTGTACATGTCTTTTGAATAATACAGAATATATTTTTCCCAAATTCTAACAACAAGGAAATAAGCGTAATCATGAAACTGATCAGAAACAAATTAATTTATCATATGAGCAAAAATTCTGTGGAGCCATCGGATGAGCTTTTTATGGAGTCATCCACCACTTAATGTGTTGACACCTGTCCAAAGTGTATTTATTGTAGGACACGTGTCAATATACTATTTGTAAATAATTATGGATGGCTCCATAAGCCGAGTCATCCGATAACTCCATATCAAAACTGATAAGACGTAAATATATTGTAAGATTAGTTTTATTTGTAATACGATTTGTAAAGGAATCGCTGAAATTTCATAGTATTACTACCAAACAGTTCTGGACGAGTAAACGCTAATTAATGTTATAAACTTATGATTAGTCGTCACACAATGAAGACACTATCATAGAACCTTTTCAAGCTTTTAAGACAAAGTGGTTAGTCATTGTTTCCATATTTTCCTGCAGTGCTCGTATGGATGAGTTTATTTTATCGGAAATGTCTATGTATGCATGAAAAAGTCTCTTTCTAAGAAAATAATCAGTCTTTTTTAAGGAAAAAAAATTACGTAAATTTATAGGTAACCGGTAAGGCGATCGACTAAATTAATAATAAAATTCTATCAAAGCACAGTGCTTTTATTTTGATAATATAATATATTTCTAACTTGATCAGTATCCTGACGAAGAGGGGTTAGCGCATTGGCGCTTATTTTCGCTCGGCGTGTATCATGTTCCGAGTTCGAGTCACCCGAGAGGAATTGGGGAACCAGTATTGATCCCTTTTTTAAGAAAAAAAAAAAAAAACTTAACCAGTATCCTGATTTGTAAATTGTAATATTTGTATGACTTAAAATTACGTTTGTCAATAATTTTTACCAAGTAAAAAGGAAAAAACGAAATAATACATGTTTGATGTTTTCGTGTGAATTTTTTGCTCCAACAAAAAATCCACGTAGAACCTCTGTGTGTCTCTCCCTCGAGTATTCCTCATGAGGAACCTTTCATGCTATTATACGCAATTTACTAAAACCCTAACCCTATAGTTATTCTCACCAATTTATTGCTTTCTCTTTTCTCATTCTTTAAGTTATCTGCATAATTTAAAACTATTTTTTCAATAGTTGTTTATACTAATAAATTGAAATGTCGTACTCAAAAAAATAACGTAAATAAAGGCAAAATTTCAAAATTGGTCCTCTAACTTGGCCACTTTCCAAAAACCCACCCCGCCATTGGCCACTTTCATTCTGAGTCCTATAAATTGTCCAATTAATCAAAGTTGGTCCTATTTTATCCGCACCCTGGATAAATACATGACGTGTCAATTTTTTGTTGTTACATGGCGTGATTATTATCTGCGTGGCAGGATTAGAAAAGGAAAAAACATTAATTTTTTCCACTGCATGATCTGGCACCTCAATAGCAAATGGAAAAATAACACTTAAATTAAATAAAAAAAACCTAAAATTGGGTTATGCCAAAGTGGAAATAAGCCAAAAACAAATTAAAAAATTAAAAATAAAACAAAAAATAAAACAGAAAAATAAAAAGTGGATTGACTTTCACTAAAAAAGAAAAAAGAACTGAAAAAATAAAACTAAAAAACAAATTACTAAAACCAAAAATTTCTTTTAATATTAATTTTTATTAATATTTTATTATTTATTTTTTTTTAATATTAATTTTTCTATTTTATTATTAATTTTTTTTTTTGGCAGTTTTATCCAATTGTACGTGCCTACTTGGCAGCGAAGGTGCCACATCATATCGAGAAACTGAAAATGGACCTGACTGGGTGCCATGTCATGCCACGTCATGTTTTTATCAAGGGTGCGGATAAAATAGGACCAACTTTGATTAATTGGACAATTTATAGGACACAGAATGAAAGTGGTCAATGACGGGGTGGGTTTTTGGAAAGTGGCCAAGTTAGAGGACAAATTTTTAAATTTGTATGATACTTTATAGTATAATTATATGTTTTTATTAAAAAAGTTTAACGGGTTGACCCACTTAATAATTTTTTTTTTTTTGGTACAATAATAAATGTGTGCCTCGTCTGTTTATTTGTTTCTTTTTACTTTATTTTTTCTTCTTTCAATAACTGACACTACAAGATAATGGTGAAATTTCAATGGAAAATTCCGTATATTCTATTGGAATTCCAGCGGCATTTCTAATGAATATTTGAATGATGGTATTTCCGCTGAAATTTTTCAATTGATTCCAACAGAAATTCTAACAAAAATATTCCGTTGAAATGTTTTTTTCATTACAATTTCCGGTGGATTTTGACGATTCCAACAGTAGATTTTTCAACGGGGCTGAAATAAAAATTCCAACAGAAGTTCTTACGGTAAAAAATCGTTGGAAAAATAGCTGTTAGAATCGTCAAATTTCATCTAATATTCCAATGGAATAATTTCATTAGAATTTCTGCTGGCATCATTCCTACGAAAGTTATATACCAGTGGAATATCTGTTAAAATTTTTATTGAAAAATATTATCGTAGAATTTTTTATTAGAATAT